CCATAATATTACAAATATTCACTTTTTATCTAAAAATATTTATAGAAAATCGTAACAGGTTAGATAGAATTTTTTTTCCAAGTAATCAGACAAAATCAAGTTGGTGAATTAATCTTTGCCAATATTTTTTTTCTTAAGCTTTATTTTGTTAAATATAAAAAATAAATTGTTCTTCAAATTAATATAATATACCATTTAAGAGATAATGACCAGATACATTAAATAATACTGATGGTAAAAAATTAAAATTAAAATATATTAACTATTTTTTGAAATTTATTTGTATATTATTGGCACCCTTGATTTTTGTTATTTTATTTTTTATTTTGATTTATTTCTATAATTAAATTCTTGTAAAATATATTTTCATTGTAGAGTATGTTGAATAAACTATAAATCCTTATAATGCGAATTAAAAAAATCTTGATCATATAAGGGATTGAATTTTTGACATTTTCTAAATCAAAGTTGTTTAATTAGAATACAAAATTAAATTCTAAAAAAACATGTGTATATTTTGTAAAATATTTATACACTATTTAATTTTAAATTTATTCACATATTTTAAATTGATTACATAAATAAATAATACTAACCAGCATTAAATATTTTTCATTACATAAAATAAAAATAAAAAGAAAACGTACAACTTTTATAACTGTATAAATAATAATGACATTATATGACAACAACGTTTATAATAAAATAATAATTAAGTATTATATTGTGAACAAGAATAAGTAAAATTGTTATTCTCTCTTATATCAAGGAATAAATATATATATTAAAATCAAATTTATATTAGTATAAATGTGTTAGTGAGATAATATATTAATTATTTTACAAGCGAGCCATAATATGCTCATATTTAATGTTTTGACTAAAAAAACAACGATGATTAAAAGAGGTGTAAAATAGATTGTAACCTTATTGTTTATTACACTTAACGCTGATAATAAGAGGTGAAAAATAAATGATAACTCTATTGCTTTATATACTTAAATGGATTGGATAAAGTCTGTGAAAATAACTCATTTAATATTTTTGTCTCGTGCATCGCACGGGGTACGTACTAGTTTTGATAATGAGATTTTAAAATTATTATATAAAATTGATAAATGAAGCATATGCATACAGCATGGAGTTATTAAGCCTCCGTTTATTTTATACTCAAATTGATGAGAAATAATTTTCGGTATCACCTCAATATTTATTTTATATATAATATGTAAATCTTTTCTCAATTTTAATATTTTAGACATAATTTTTTTTATGTTCTTTATATAAGATAATTTTATATTGTTACAATAGACTATATAAAGTAAATTTTATCACATGTAACCCCACATCTTTAATTTATAATTATAGTTAATATTGTTTATCCTAATATTTAGTTTATAATTATTATTAGTATTATTATTATTTTTTTTGGTACAATGAAAGAGGCCATAACCCTATATTAGGACTCGACGGTGATACGACACTCCAATAATATCATGCTCTAACCAAACTCCCAGAACCGAAGGCGGGGAACCTACTCGCTGAAGGTTGGGATTATTAGTATTATTTATCCGTGCATATATAGCACGGGCTACACACTAGTAATTATATATGGAATGTAATTATGTAATATCTTCATATTATTTAAGTGGAGGGTGCAAATTCCTCTAGACATTATAGTAAGTAAGCATTCTTGGGTCGAGACAATTGCATCTGTTTTCGTTTGGGTTCTTCCGAGTATGTGTCTATTGGTCCATGCAAACCATGATGACGCCTTTTTATATTTATAAATATTCATACATTCATTTCACGCGAATTAAATGGGAAATAATTAACATGTTGGAACATAATTATATTATAGTATTTTGCACTCATCATTTTCTTTATTATTTGAAATTCCTGTAGACGAGTAAGCCCATTGAAGTCTTGTGTATTTGAAGTGTCATTGTAAACCAGATAAAAGTTATAGTATATTGAACGTAGGCACATTGCCGAACCACGTAAATCTTGTGTCATTTACTTTCTCGTCTTTAATTCGTATTATTCCCGTTTTACAACAGAGACGTATGTTGATAAATGTGTGTATTAACCGGTGATAATTTTTTATTGCGGCAAACATGTTTCACATGCTTAAATTTTATTCAATTTTACATTTTGTTTTGTTCAAGTTTATTCGTTGATTTTAATGGGGGTATTCATTTGGTTTTGTTTAGGTTTTTTAGTTCGGTTTGGTTGATTTTGAAAAATGTGGTATGATTAGTTGTTAGTGAGTATATTAAAATAATATTTAAAATAAAATAATTAAAGTTGATTTGATATAAAAGTATTCATTTGAGATATGTAAAGTGATAGTTAGTTAAATTTATGTGAATGAATGAATAATAAATTAAAATTAGGGTGATGCGTAAGAATTATTGATTAATATTATTTAATAATATTGAAAATAGTGAGATCGAGTTAAAGTTAAGTTAAAAAAATATGATTGAGTTAAAAATTTTCGGATATTTTTGGATACCTTGTATCCAAGCAACGCCTTAAAAGTCTTGGGGTATTCATTTGAAAATCTAAAAATTCTTACAAATTCTTGAGGTATTTAACTTATTTAAAACTAGAATTTGTTAAATCTTTTTAAGATTTGTTGGAATTTCAAAAAAAAAAAAAAAATCTTAGACGAAATCTCACTCAAAATCTCACCTCCATACTTAAAATTTCATAAGGTTCCTCTAAAATCTGAAAATCTTAAAAAATATCAAATCTTAAAAAGTTTTAAAATGTCACTCGAAATCCTAAATGAATACATCTCTAAGATTGTTTGTGATTCATTTCATGTCATTCCTCAAAGACAAGTACATGGACATATATATCCAACACAACATAGGTCTATAATGCGATTGTAGTTTTAATTTGAGTCAATGAATTGAAATATCACTTCCTAGTTTTTTCCCTATACTATATTAAATAAATAAAATCCTCAACTTACTATTCATTTTGTTCCTATTAGTATAAATTAAAATGATTAAATGTAATACAATAAGAATTCAATTCACTTTTCAAGACTTTTACACATTTATTTGCATCTCAACCACCCACATCATGCCACATCATGTTGTCATTGAATATTGTATAAAAAAATTGTACAAATAACTTTTTCATTTTTCTATTTAGTATCACCAAAGACACGTGTGAGAAGTGACGGTAGAGATGAGAACACGTATCACACATTCAGTTAGTAAAAGGAAAATCGCATTACATATTAATTAACAAAATATGCCACACCGAGATATTTCTCAAACACGTGAATTGAATGATAGCATTTTCGAAAGATATTTTTCCTTTAAAAATGGATAATTTATGAACTGTCGTTGACTATAATGCGATTGCTCGATTATGAGAGTCGCATTCGACGCATTCATGTAATTTATTTACCTTTTTTCTATTATTTTGAAATACAACTTATATATTATGAAAACTTAATTCATTTAGTACTGATTTATCACATTTTTTACTTTAAAAAAACAAATTGGGATAATGAGAAATACAATTTTTTCTTCTATAAAAAGCATGATGTTTTTGTTCATTCACATCAACACATTAGTACCTCTGGCTTTTATGCCTCTGAAAGATTCTCAACCCATTCTTCAGTTTTCTCTACATATACTTGATATTTCTCTGCCCTGTTCATTGTATTCAAGATCAGGTAATAATTTTTTAATTATATTTTCATTCTCATAAAAATTTCCAATGTTTTACTTTCATTTGGATTTTTTCTTTTATTTTTTATTTATTTTGTCGTGAGTATGCTTAATGCAGGAACAATTAGCAGCCTCTCTGGATTTGTCTTAATCAAATCTTTACTAAAAAAGGTTAAAGAAAAAAACTTACTGCATTTCAAGTTTGTTGCAGATCATTTTATTTATCAATATTTTCTTTTTTTTCTTATTGGAATTATTCATCTTTATTTTTTATGTACTTTTTCTTGGATGAACTTTGAATATAAGTAGGTCTGATTTTTTTATATTCATCAAAATATCGAAAGCCGAACCCATGGTTAAATAAATAGAAAAAAGAAAAACGAAACGAATATTTTTTTGCGTTAACTTGTTGTCGGTATCGAACAAATTGAGTTTGGTACAGATATCCAATTTTAAGCGGTCGATTTTACCTAATCGAATCAAAATTGTGTCAATATATATATATATATATATATATGTGTGTGTGTGTGTGTGTGTGTATGTATTTAAACACAATTATGAGAGCTGAACGGAGAACCACTCCCTGATCGGTTATCTTAAAAAAGACGGTTGTGAAAGAACCGGTCGAACCGATTAAAATTAGCCAGTCGGAAGGGTTCTTGACTTTTTGTTTTTTCACATATAAAAACTAGTTTTTATATTTTTTAAAATATTTTTAATATAAATAAAATATATATATAAATATTTTGAATATGTATAACTATTATATGAATCAACTAAGACAATTGATTGTTTCAAATTATCAAAAAAATAAATAAATAATTTTTATATATGAAATTGAATTCTAAAAATATTATTTATATTTAAATTGATTAATAATAAATTAAATAACGGCTTAATCAAGTTCAACCACTTGTTTAATCAATAAATTATTCAACCAATCGTTTAACCTATTCGATGACGGGTCCGATATACAAAACCGCTTAATCTTAACTTAATTTATAGTATATTTTTTCCTTAATGTCACAGTGAAAATATAATTTTTAAGCGCGCGTTGTTCCACGCGCCTGCTCCACCCGGTGGAGCTTCGAGCCTTTTACTTTCTTTAATTTGTCCTCTTTCTTCAGTCTTTTTCTCTCTCTCTCAAAATTCATTACTATAAATTATTAAAAAAAAATAAGAATTAAAAATAAAAGAAAAACAAGCAAATCTCTCTCCCTCACTTCGATTCAATCCCCATGAAAACTCTGCTCAAGAAAACAGGTGTTTTTACTCTTTCTTCCTTTATCTTCTCCGCATATATACATACAACTTTTATGTGCATAAATATATACTTACATCTACACACACTATTATTGACTTATTGTATTTTTATTATTTAGTTGTACGTGTATTTATATGCTTCGTTGTCCCGTATTTCTCCCTTTTTTTTCCTTTTCTTTCGTGCCTTTACCTCCCATTTAAACCCAGCCCACTTCGGACATTTATATTTCTTTTTTTTTTCCTTGTATTTTACATGCAAATTTTATCTTTTGGCGTATTTCTTGTGTATGAATATGTGTAACAGATATCATAGATTTTGAACCAAGTGATTTTTGGTTTTTTTGCTCAAGAAATTTGATGGGTTGTAGCCTGTAGGAGTACATGTGTTTCAGTCTGGTAAGGAGTTTAATTTTGTGGGATCACATTGGAATCTTCAAAATGGTTGTGGTCTTGTTTTGAAGTTCGAATCTTTTTTGCATGATTTTTTTTTTTTGGGTGCATTGTTATTTTTTATNAGCCCTTGGAAAAAAAAAAAGATAAAAGATTGGTAAAGACAGGAACTTTCTATGTGTATTGTTTGATTTAGGATTTGTATTCAGCAGGTTTGTTGGGTTTTTATAAATAGACGGTTTTGTTGATGCTTGTCGTCTGATAAAGTAATGTTGCTGTGATAAAATGTGTTCAGTTTTATACAAGAAAATGGACATGTTGTTTCTTGTAATCGATATTTGATGACTTGATTCTATTTTGTTTTCAATTGGATTGGATTTTTCCAAGCTTCATTTTTTTCTAAAAAAGAAGATTATTGACTGTTGTGGTTTGAATTGTTTTGCATTGTTGTTATCCCTAGAGTTGTTCTGTGGACTTTGTCTAGAGACTGCGCAGTTTTTAGAAACTCTTTTGGTGGCTGTGTTAGTAAAAGGGTGTCTTTTGTTCAGAACTTAAAATTTTGATTTTTGATTTTTTTTTTCGAAAAGGGCATTTCTTTGATTCTTTGCACTGCAGATTCTCTTATTCTTGCCGGCAGCCATCCTGTTTGCTATTATGCACCAATGACACTTTTATATTTTAATTGCTCATCAGGCGATCATAGATACATAGGAAAAAACTATAAGCATCTGTGTTGCGACTGAAGCTGGAAATCCAGCCCGCATTTTCTGAAGAACGAGAATTAGTTGAATATACTCATCAAGAAACCCGTGTACCCTTTCCATTTTCTCGATATAAAGTAAGCTGGAACATAGCTTTCTATCTGGAAAGCAGCATGTGTATTTGTGTAATCTTATGTTAGTTATAAATGTTGGCACCTTGATTTTATTTCGTATGTGTTTTACATTGTTGTTTAGCTTCCAAATCATTGTGTTTTGGTTCAAAGCCTATCTTCACATAATAAAAAAACACCAAGTTTCATGGTTATTACAGATCTAGCAAAGTTTTCGATTACAATTCTCTTATATTTGCACGTGCAAGTAAAATTCGCAAATTTCGTTTTTTTTTTTTTTTTTNTGCAGATGGCTTCAACTTCTTATTCATCTAGAGGTTGTATTGATAATATTCCGTCCGAGATACTTATGCCTGAGAGTGACGTGTTTGGCGAGCCAAATAGTAGTCCACGGATTGGAAATGAACATCAAGCTGAGCTTCCTTCCATAAATAAAAAGTCGAATTACATGTATAAGTCCACATATTATGGAGATACACATCCAAAGCATGTAATAATTGGGCTGCCCATACCATTAGTGTGGATGAATAACAATGGCCCGGATAAAAATTCCGAGATGACTTTGACCAACAGTGTACAAGATACAGTGATGAAGCCTGAAGAGAATTCACAGGCTGAAGAGGAAAGAATGCAGAAATTGTGCGGTGAAATAGTCCCTGGATTGACCGAAAAATTTTGGAGTGATGCTGAGAAAGCCAGCTTTTTTCTGGGTTTGCACATATTTGAGAAAAATTTTGTGGATCTTGGGCATTTTGTGGAAACTAAGAACTCGGGGGATGTAATGGCGTACTACTACGGAGAGTTTTACCATTCGAAAGAATATTTTAGATGGTCCGAACGTAGAACGGCAAAGGGCAGGAAGAGGTACGTGTTTGGGCAGAGGATTTTTTCTGGATTAAGGCAACAGGAATTAATATCTCGGCTTGTTGCTAGAGTTCCAGATGAATGTAAAAGCGCCTTACTCGAGGTACTCGTTAAAATTTACGTCGTTAAATTAACTGCTATTATATGCTCGAAAGATTTGCAATAGTAAGCCCCTACAGATATAATTGTGAATCTTTGTGTGTATTACTATTTTACAATGAATTTGATGAAGAAAAAAGATTGAAGCTTTAAGCCTCCCAAAAAACAAATATGCACTATTTTGGCACCATCTCCAAATATCCTCATACTCAGAGAAAAACATGACAGCATTAGTGCGAACAACTTCTGTCGACTTGTTTGACAAATACTATCGAACAACGATGTTTCTCTCACTTTATTCTGTCAATTTAATTGTTTTTTTTTTTCTTCCCTTTAACAATGTACAAAGGTCTCCAAGACATTTTCGGATGAGAAGTCGAGCCTATCAAGCTACCTCTCGTCTCTAAAGTCCATGGTCGGGATAACAGCTCTCACCGAAGCCATTTCCTTGGGCAAAGGCAAGAAAGACATGACTAGAATGGCCTTAGAGCCCTCGGGCTCAAACAACACGATTCAGGCCCAAACAACACAGGTTATACCTTCACGCAAGAAATGCTCATCTCTCTCACCTTCTGAAATCATCGAAATCTTGAATGGTGACTGCCGACTGAGCAAAGCCCGGTCACACGAGCTTTTCTGGGAAGCTGTCTGGCCGCGCCTTCTCGAACGAGGCTGGTCTTCCAGAAAGGTTGAGTACGGTAAAGGCGATGTTTTTAACGTGCTGGACTATTCCGTAATCTACCTCACGCCAGGCTCGGATAAACTCCCGGATGACGAGATTGTGAAGGGAGACCACTACTTTACCTCGTCCACTGATGTTTTGGGCCGGGTCTCGAGGGAGCCCATCCTCATCCTTCTTGGCTCGGATAATGACGAGGTGAATAACGGGCCTGCTGTTGTGGCCCGAGAGGAAAGGGATGAGGAGGAAGAGTTTTATCTGCAGCCGAGGGCCCAAAACCGTAGCTTGCATGCCGTGAAGTACACGGTGGTCGACACGTGTCCCGGCGGGAATTTACGAGACGTGAGATATTTGCCGTGCGAAGAGGATGAAAACGGTGGGCCCGGATTGGAGAATGGGAAGGGCCCGATTGATGACGATGATGATGAGGCTAGTTTGGAGAATGTGAAGGGCCCGAGTGACGGCGAACCTGGTTTGGAGAAAAGGGAAGAAGAAGAAGAAGAAGGCCAGACACTAACAACACCAGAGGATGGGAATAAATCTGGAAGGATCCAGAAGGGGAAGAAAATCCGAGGTGGGGCCCGCCGTAAGGCAGCGAGAAAACGCGGAGAGACGGGAGGAGACGTGATTTGCAGTCCGGGCCGAGTTTTGATGGGCCTCGGAATGGAAAATGGGCCCGTGCCGTCGGGCCCGAATTCTGATGTACAGGAAGGACCAGTGGAGAAATCGCGGTGTCCTTTGCCGTTTGACCTGAACGAGCCGCCAGTAGAAGAGGCAGAGGAGGAGGAGGAGGACTTGGATGTGAATACGAATGCTGTGAGACAGAGTAGAAGGGGCCTCCAGTGGTCGGCCAAGGCACTGGAGAATCTGGTCGATGAGCTGGCGGATAGGAAGAGGAAGGGAATAATCGATGAGGAGGGATTTGTATGGAGGCCCACTAGGCGTGTGAGAACCGGGGTTTTGAGGGGATCTGTGGGTTGTTCAGGTGATGGAAATGGCGCGTCTGGCAGTGGGGACCGTAATGTGGAGAATGGTGTTTGAGAGTTCATTGTCGATTATGATGTCGTGTTAGAGGTTAAAAAAGTTGTGATAAAGTTGATGATGGGTTTTGAGGTTGAAGTTGAGAAGATTNTATAGATGCTTTGAAGGTTATGTCCTTTTCTTTTTTTCAGATTTATACTTTTTTACTATTTTTATTTCTGTAGTTTGGGTCATGAAGATTATGAAATCTGTACTTTGACATTGTATGGAGTATAAGTTGGGTTACTGGTGGAAATTTCTGAGGTGGTAACAGTTTTGTTATGTGCTTCTGTTTGAGTATAATTGTTGTAGGACATTATGTGATGCAGAATTATAAATTGTCAATAGAGAGAGAGAGGGATAGGTCATATTGTGCTTCTGGTGTTGAATATTGGATTTGATAATTTTTTGGTCTAATCAAAAACCATCTTTTCTCCTTGTTTCTTCTCAGTTATACACACCACACAGTTAAGTAAAATCTCTATTTCATAGGACTTGATTTGACTATATTGATGACTGACTAAAGATTGTATATAGAGTTTCATGAGACTTGATTTGACTAACTAAAGATTGCATAGATAGAGCTATATGTAGAGTGTCGCAGAAGAAGGAATGAGATTTTCTGCTCCAATTTCATGTTCCATTTCGTGTTTCAAACCATTGGATGAATGACACGTGTAAATAATGATGTTATATTTGTACACATGTCAATCATCCAACGGAATGGAGCAGTGCGAAATATGTGTTAAGCTTTTTTTTTTTGGTACAATGAACCTTCCGGTTTCCGAATCCCCTAGGGGACCGACTAATCCGGAATCGAACCGGGTAGGACCACAAGGGCGGCAAAGCTCTACCTCAAGAGTTTTAACACAGCTGCATTCCCAGGGCTCGAACTCGAGACCTCTGGTTAAGCTGGGAGAGACCCCAACCATCTCACCCACGTGCTCTTAGGTAATATGTGTTAAGCTTTGACTATAGTAAGTTAGGTTAAGCTTTTATTTACTATACTAAAGTATAGCTTTGTTGCTGTATATATGGTATGAAATATTGAAATTTGGAAACATTTTAACCAATTGTTCATGTTGGCCATTTTCACAAAGTAAGAACCTTTCAAATTCATAATTCTACAGGCTACAACACATTATTGCACTAAAATCTATGATCTATGCATGATGGACTGCTAGTTGGTGTGTTCTCTCCATAATTAAGAGACAAAAAAATTATTAATTGTTGACAAAATTATTAAATTCTAGCAATTTGCTATTTTAAACATTTTTGTGACTCAGTAAGTATATTGCTTTTGTTGACTTTTGTAAGTTTGATGAATCGATTTTTTTTTCCTACGGAAATTTGCTCAATTTGTTTAAGCGCTATAAATAAATTATTGACATGAAACTTTCTAAGTTTAAATGAAACTAAAGTGAATAAGAAGAATAAGAAATTCCACAATCACTAATCTTTAATTTTTCAATGATTTGAAAAATAATGCCTTGTCAATTGATAAATAGTAACTTAGTAATATTTTATTACAATTGTGAAAGTTGAATAATTAAAAAAAAACGGCATGAAAATTTGAAAAATTTGCTTATTTTTAATACTTATTATAATAAAATGAGCAGATTAATAAGAGAATCATTTAAATACAGCACACATCCATTACTTATATTGAAAATCCATCTCCAATTTTATTATTATATATCTTCCATTTCAAGAAATAAAAACAGGGAAAATGTTAAAGGCACATCTATGAACTATACATATACTAAAAGCCGTCCGGTTCCAGCGGCCGGACGGGCTAAAAGCTGTCCGGTTTCGCCGACCGGACGGGTTTTATTTTTTTTTAACTTTTTGAAAAAAAATGCAAGNAGTAGTAATAGGGGGGCGGTGAATAGCGATTGAGAAGAAAAAGGAAGAACTAAGAGCGCCTAGCTTAGGGCATGCTTGTTTATTAATTACTAATACAGAGCCCGTGCGATGCTCGAGATGCACAATTTTAAGGCTATTTATTCAGGCTTATAATTATATACATGAATAAAGAAAAATGTACGGGATATATATAGTACGTGACTCGTGCGAAGCACGATATATATTTATTTGGAGAATATTATATTATAAAATGCAATATTTAATAAAAGTTTATAATACGCAAAAAAGTTGTACAATGTTCAATAAAAGTTTTATAATATTCAAGTGGAGTCTTAAAGTCTCTTGTACATTAAGACTACTGACAAAATAATATTTTAATCAATGAGTTTCCTTTACCAAATTGTGAATGTGATTTGAGCAGTACAACAAATCGATATATAGCTGACTTGCCTTTTTCATTGTAGTTTTTTTCTTTTTTTTTTTTTATAATGAATTTAAAGATATTCTAAAATATAGCAAAAATTAATTTTTTTATTACAATTAGGAATTTTACTAAATATAAACTCTCAATCTATGGTGTTAATCAACGTTTAAGTCTAAAAAATTAGGAATTTTTACCTCTTTTAATCAACGTTTAAGTCTAAAAAACAATAGAGTTATTATAAGTTTTTTTTCTACATCTTTTAAAACATTAAATATGAGCATGTTAGGGCTAGCTTGTAAAATAATTAATATATTATCTCACTAAAACATTTATACTAATAAAAATTTAATTTTAGCATATAAATTTATCCCTTGATATAAGAGAAAGTAACAGTTTTACTTATTGTTGTTCACCATATAATATTTAATTATTATTTTATTATATAATAAAAAAGAAATATTGTTAAATAGTGTAGTAGAATTGTTATAAAATTATATAATTTTTTTTACAATATGAATTTAATATTTTTTTATGATTTGATAATATAAACAAATCTATACTTAACTTTGACAAATAAAACAAATAAATACTTTAGTAAGTATTTAATGTATATACTAAATAGGAATATATTTGGTATAATCAAATACCAAATATAATTAAATAAGTCAAAGTGTACATTTTTATTTGGTATTTAATTTTTTTATTATACTTATCTTTTTAAAATAAAACAAATAAATAAATTAATTAAATAAATAAAATATTATAATACCAAAATAGTAATGACATTTAATGCAGTTGACTTTTCTGGATAGTAAATGTAATAAATAGAATCTCCTTTTATATAAGTATAGATTGTATAATACGGAAATAGTAATGCAATAAATATTGTTGACTTTTCTTTATACTAAATCTGGTAAATGGTATACATTTTAATATAAGTATAGATTTCACTCATCTTTAATTCATACTCAAAATTTAACTCAGTTTTAACTCAATCACACTATCTTTAATATTATTCATATAATTAAATAATACAAACCAATCATTCTTACACATCACATCAACTTTAATTCACTATTCATCCACTCACATAATTTTAACTACCTATCATTTCTAATCATTTATCTTCTACTTTTATATCAAATAAATTTAGTCATTTTTTTTAAATATTATTTTAATACATTCTTAAAACCTCACTAATAATTAATCATACCACATTTTTTAAAATTAACTATAGTTAATCAAAATAACTCATTTTGGACGAATTATTTTATAAACAAGCGATCCTTTAATTATTGTATATGATAATTTGCCCTGTGTAGTGTAGGGTTGATAAACAAGACATCTTGTTTTAATATTCGGCTTAAGTTCAACAAGTTAAGGATAACTCGGCTCAACTCGACTGATAAATAAATCAAATCAAAACTCGTTTAATGCTCGTTTTGCTTAATGACACGGCTCGTTAAAGGTTGATTTTTATTTTAGTATAATTCGATTCGTTATACTTTGTTTATAGACTCGATAAGGATTCTAGTGTAAGCTCAAAAAAAAGATGAGTAGTTGGAACTTGGACTCGTTTACGCCTACTCAGAGACATACACTCGATTATGAAATAATGACACCCCTTATCCTGATGTTTACAAAGTTTACATAATAATCCCCTCTTATTATTTAGATGAAAATGCCTTTTTTGTTTCCATTTTTACTCCAAGTAGCGGTTTTAGTTTTTATTTTATTTTTATCTTATACTTCTTTTAGTTCTTATTTCTCTCTCTTAAATGAACGTGTCTAACCTATCTTCTTTGGTTCCTTCTTTTCCCCCAATTTCATTCTTTTTTATCTCCCTCACATTCTCTTTCTCTCAGAACTATTGTTTCCAACTCCAAATCTACATCCCAAAAATTTCGATAGAATCCTTCTTCTGCAAAAACCTTCAACAGATCTGGTCAACTCCGTCTTCGAACGAAACATCATAGCGCGGCTCTCTACAACATCGCCTTCGCCTCCCTCGGCCGCCATGCCTCCTCCGGTGCCGGTGCCGTCTACCTCCCGAATTCCGAAGTCCTTTAAAATAAAAAAACCACGATCCGCAATATTAATAAAGAATGAATTACCACCCTCGATTTACTCCTAATCGACGGCTTAGAAAAGAGATTTTCCTTCAATGGGTTTGGTGATTTTGAGGACATTGACAGTTTTAGGTAGTTGTTGTTTTTTTTTCTGTTTTTCGTGCAATGTGTTTAGATTTGGTTTTGCATGTTTATATTATTTTATCGAGTGATTTTTAGTTAATTTTCAATCATCATTTGCAGGATATGTTAATAACCTGATTTTTGGGTGTTTGATTTTATGTACTTTTTCTCTATTTTTCGTGCAAATGCCGTCAAAAATTTGATTGAACTTATGTTTATTCCTTGTTGATTTTATGTTGTTTGATAGGTGTTATGCTATTTTTTTTATTGAACTTCTGTTTATTCTTTGTTGTTTTTATGTTGTTTGATAGGTGTTATGTTATTGTTTTGTTGTTGCTTTTTTTTTTTTTTTTTTTATTGCTAATTTGCTTGCCCAACTCCTTACTTTTGAAATAAATTTTTTATGTACATTTTTTTATCAATTTTTTTTTCTATAGGTATTCTTATGCTTATTTGCAGAAGAAGAAAGGGAGGAAGAAAGAGAAAAAAAGGAATAAGAAAGAGAACGTTAAAAGGGAAGTAGGAGAGAGGAAAAAAAGAGAAAAAAAAGAGGATGAGAGAGTAGTTAGTTATTAGTTTAATTTTTGATTTATTAGTTTTTTAACTTCCTATTGTAGCAGTATTACATGTATTGTTTTGGAATGAAAAGACACAATTTTGGAATTCTCACAAATCAGTCATTTTTATGTAAATAGTTTTTAATAGACGATTATTTATGTCCTTCTCCCCTCGATTATCCCATTTAGCCCATCTAATATGCACCTCGTTGAGATGAGGCCCAAATATCGAATCCGCTAGCAAAAGGACCATTAAGAAGCCATATACGTGGAAGCTCCATTTCCAGTCCAGCTTCCAAAGTCGAATTAAAACACTTTTCAGCCTTCACAGCTTGAGAACAATACCTTCAAAATCACCAAATATTTACCCAAAATTAAGAGCATTCTTGAAAATTGAAATTCCAACGTGAAATTTGTCTCAGATACATTTTCTGTTCAAAAGTCGAGCAATTTAGAGATAAAAAGGGGCGGCGTATGTCTAATTCTTGATCGGGATGGGTCAAGCATTACGTAGAGCAGCTGGAAGGGCCGGCGGCTCAAGAGTCGAAACGACGTCGCAGATCGCAAAGCCCGTCGACCGGAGGCCGCCTCCGCAGCCGCCGACTCCGCCGCCGACGGTTGCTCCGGCTGACAAGATTCCCTCTGATGACCTTACTGCTGGCTTTGGTAATTTGTTCACGAACTTGGGATTTGTGTTCATTCAGTTTCTGAAGAATTCATGTGATGGGCTTTTCCCTAATCTATATTTTTATTTTGAAGATTTGATTTTTCTGAGAAAGTTGATTATATGTGGTATTTGTCAATCTTCTTTCGGTTTAGTGGGTTTTGAATCTTTAATTCAACGATTTGTGTTAGAATATACACTTATACAAGGAAAATAGGCCTAACTTATAAGCCTAGTGGGCTACTCCTCCTACCATCAATTGGTTTTGGGATGGAACCTCACTTGGGCTTCATTTGGCCTTCCCTGATTTGGTGCGCTTCGTCCGTAGGACCGCACCCGTCAACTCCCGTTTGTCAATTTGTGTAGTGCAAAGTAGTAAGCTTTATCAGCAAGAGAAAGCTGTTGTGTGTACTTTTTGTTATATAACTGCTAACAGCATACATGGGAGAATTTTTGTAACGAGGCGCTGAAAAAAGTATGTATTTTTGTTAAAAAAAAGTATGAGGGGTCGACCAACGAAAGCTCACACTCACTTTGTGAAATTCTAATTTCATGCAGTATTGATTTTGTTTTTATACATAGTTTTGAGTAATGCATCTGAGACAGATTGTTTTCCAGAGTTTTAACTTTTAACATTCTCTTTCTTGAAGGAAGAAAAATGCTAAAGAAGAATGTAACTAGAGACTGGGGGCTCTGTAGTAATGGACAATAGAGGCATGAAATTTTGGTCACTTAGTTAACCATAGAGTATCTTGATATTTTGTGGTAAGATAGATGGAAAGAGTAATTTTAACAAACGATAAGGAGCCACAGATATGCATAACTAATGTCATACTTAAAAAAAAACACCATAAACCAAATATGACATTTCATGTCACATGTATTCATTTTTATTTAAAAGGTGTGACAGGCCGACCGCCTAACAGTTAGGCCGCCTCACACAAATATTTGAGTTCAACAAATTGGATGGTCATCATTTGTGTTCGTAAAAGTTCCTTGATTGAAATATAGGTTTCATCCCACACAAGTCTTTGTCTTGTAATACAAATTGCTATTTGACCCTTAGCAAAAAGGTTTTGTTACTATTATATCTAAACATGTATTTTGGATTTGTGTCAAAAATATTTTGCCAAAGTTTGAATAATTTTTTGTTTTTTGTGTGTCTTTAAGAAGAAGGACCGAATGTTAATCCTGAAAATGTTCTCGAGAATCGTGACGTGCAGTATGATGCTATGCTTAGCCAAATGGTGGGAAGAATACAAACAAAGCCTGGAGGGAAGCTCGAGATGGGAGAGGTCAGGTTCCCAAGCTCCTCATTACATACAGCTTTTACTAGTGCTATATATTTTTTTTTAAATAAACTAAGATTTCATATTAGGACCAGAAATTTCATCCTCAACTTTATCTGAAACTCAAGAACAATAACAAACTAAACAATCCACAATCATAGTTCAGTTGTATATTGGTGGTGTTGGAAGACATTTGCTACGGCAAACAACATAGAATGTCTGGTAAATTAAAGTATTATTCAACATCATAGAAATTGGTACTCATTTTCTGGTCCAGTCGAATTATATTATGAATGTACAGAGAAAAGTTAAAATTGTACTTAAGTCATAATTGGTTTAGGCACCTAAAGAATGAGGGGATCCCCTGAAGATGTGTGAGAAAGTCTTTAAAATCGTGTACTTTTTTTTTTGGGATAAAACTTGGGAAGGTCACTCAAGCATTGGTGTTAGACTACTGCCAACTTTTCTTTTCTTTTCTTTCTTTCTTTTTTTTTTTTTNTTAATTTTTATCTTAACAGGCTTCCGTCGTGGAGAAGTACAAGCGGCCTTTGCCGAAACTAAGGAACACGACACCAGATTCTGGAAGATACGAGGAGAGGCCTGCACCCCCAGGGACCCTAAATGTGGCACAAATTCGCCAAATAATCCTTTTGTATCAAGGGAAATCGGACGAGCACAATGGCCCTATGAATGTCGATCAAATTGCCCAACGCTTTCGGATTGAGGCTGCTCAGGTCCAAAGTATCCTCCAGTTTGTATCTCTGCCTCCAGATGATGATGGAAAGAAGAAAAACGATAATCGCGAATGATCATTGATTTTGTGCTTTAAGTGTTTTTTGTTCCCTTTTCCCTTTTTCCACACATGAGGAATCGAATATATGTAGCAATGATTATTCCAGAAATTGTACAAGGTGGAATGGTGGTTGTGAGATTTGTGTGAGAAAAACTTTGTATGATCCTCTTCAATTTTACTTAGTTTTCCATGTTTAGTTTTCTGATTACTACAGCAGCCAAAACCCTGTAAATGGGTCGGATTGGGTGCGGGTTTTGGCAAACCCAAACCCGACCTGCATAAAATTTCCCTACCCATGGTGCATATATATGCAATTTTGCCTATTTTTTATTGCCATGCGATTTTAGCCTTTGTCGAATATTATACACATATATAAGATGCGATTCAAATGAGAATCGTATCTTAATGTAAAAAATGTGATAATTGTTATTTATAGTTATGTGTAGTGCTAAGATTAATAGCATTTAATGCTATTTTTCATTCGAATTTATTTTTAAAAACAACACTACATGCATAATAGTAACTGTACAGATGATATTAAAAATAAAAATAACATGATATATGACAGTTGACTATGATAGACATAGCCCCATAAATTTAATTTACTATGTTGTGTGGATGTTTATTTTTTATATTTTTCAATACTGAAAGTTCATATGTCGAAATACAAAAATGATATTTACAGGATGATGTGCATGTGTTTTCACTATTTCTTCTGAGTAAATGAAGTGAATTTCTTAATGACAAAAGGTAAAAAAAGTTGAAAAAGAAAATTTAAGATAAGAAATGGAAAACCAGAAAAAGAAAACTGCGCATCCAGGGAATCGAACCCTGGTCAGTACCGTGGGAGGGTACTATGATACCACTACACCAGATGCGCTGTCGATGAAAGGTTCTATATACAATATTAATTGAACAAACAAAACGAATTAGCTGTAATATTTTATTTTTATAAAAATATTATAAGTCTTATATTCAAATAATAATTTTATAATTATAATTTAATACTATCATACTTTAATTATTGTACAATTTCTGTTTTATAATTAATTCATTCATTTTCCATAATTTAAGATTGTGTATCCTATATAAGTTAAACACTAGTATGAATCACGTGCGATGCACGGGTAAGAGATATCATTAATATTTATAAATTAAATTTATCATTAAATTATATTTATAGATTAAAAATATGAAATCAATATGTAATACAATTTACATATATTAATTATTGAAAATGTTATGTAAAATTTGAATTGTGCGAAATTACATAAAATGTCTATTTTAAAATTAGTGCACAACCTGTGCGGTGCACATATTTATGTTATATTATATTTATTTCAAAATAAGTCTCATTTCAAAGTTTTTTTACAAAAATTCGGTTTGACTATAATGTGATTCCATAAAAGTAATTATTTTGGTAAAATTTTATCATATATTTAAAAATAAGGGAATAACAAGTATAAATATAAACCTTATATTGTTTCATTAATTAAAATAAATTTATTTTTGTGTAAACTATCCAAATAAAAAAAATTAAGTTGTTGGGTAATTTATTACACTATAAATAATTGACTATTCCAATTACGTCCAAGTTAATATTGAACCGTAATTTATGAATAATTATTTATTTGAATTTTAATTTTAAATAAAAACTTTTTTTTGTCAATATATTATATACCAAATTTAGACAATGCAACTAATAAAGGTAATAGCCGTAAGTTGTCAATATATTATATGCCAAATTTAAATTATGCAACTAATAAAATAATAGCCGTAATATTTGACCAAAATGATTTTGTACATTAATTACATTGATTTTTTTAATTTGAATTTCAAATGATTGGCAGCCACTTTTCAACAATGTTTAAAAAATTTACTAATAGAATTTTTTTGACGGGATTTTAGTAACTATTTTATGTAAAGACAAACGTTTTATATATATATATAGAGAGAGAGAGAGAGAAAGAGAGATTATTAAAAAGACAAAATGCTCGAAGAATTTGTAAATTACCCCTCTTTTTGGAATTTTTCATTGAAAGTTCGGCTAAATGAAAAATATTTAGCTAAAAAACATCAAACCGAGGTAGCATTCATTTACATCTGTTTTCATTGACTGATAGTATTCAAAAACTCGAGGGTGTGGAGATCGAATAAAAAAATCATTATTGGAATTAGATTTACAATACTATCAAAGCTCAAGTATGTTTGGTCATCAGTCACATCGACATCATGTACTCATGAGAGACACAACCACCTCCAACGTTGGGGCTAGTATAACCCTATTGTTCAAATAACTGAGATCATCGATTGCATCCTTAAATGTTGGATAGGTTCTATCAACAATTGCAGCGATAGGATCATCAGTGGGATCTAACAATATAGCATCAAGTATGACTGTCGAAGCACATCCATCATTGGATCCCCCAATGGTTCTATCTCCGATGGTCGTTATCCAAATAACAAAAGCAGTCAACTCCTCGCATTCATCCGAATCACCAATGCTTTGAAGGCGCATATTTTTTGTAAGTCTCAACACAGTACAATCAACTCATGTATCGGAAGAATTAATTGAAGCATTCAGAATATCTGACGACTCCCCTTTGAAATAACCAAGAAGATCTATCGAAAGTCCTCATTGTGAAATATGATTTCCAAGTAATCCTTGTATTCACCCTAAAATTTGTGTTCAATTATTCGAATTTTACGCAACTTCATTGTAGCTTATTTGTTCTAGTAACATCCTTGATCAGACCGAATTCACACTTCATGTTGAATTTAATTAAATAAGTATAAATCGTGTATTTTTGTATTAAAAAATTAAATTGAAAGCAGAATGAGTAAGACAACATCGATATACACTGAATGTATAGGGGAAGAAAAACAAAATATCTTTCAGATCAATTCCATAAATATTTAATAAAAAATATTTCAACAAAGCCAATAAATTGTCTATGTTCTCTTTTGAAACCCATATCTGACAAAACCCTCCCCCAATAGCGAAACTCTCTCCCAATTTCTTCGGCGAGCACCTCCAATTTCCGACCGATTTGCCTTCCTCGGCGACGGTATAGTCTCGGCTAGGGGTCGTCGATGACCGTCCCGGCCTCCTGTGATGTCGCGTGTCTCTGATGTTCTGTGGATGGGCCGATTGGGGATCTGGCTAGGTTGAGGACAGGGACTCAAATGGCGGCTTCCTTCCCGGTCGACAATGTGTGGTGGAGTTCCTCCGTTACCGACGTTGCTCCGATTTGCGGTGGATCTCCTGCTTCTCCTTTGTCGGCGATTGCCAGTAGTCTCGTTTCCGGCGGAGCTCCATCTTTCTGGCGGGTTTGCACCTCTAGTTAGGTTGTCTGTGGAGGTATCGGGCAGAGCGCGGGTCTCTGGGTAGGGCGGGACTCCGGTGAATGCGGCATGTTGGTTGCGGTGGTCGGGGTGAGGCCGTTTCTCTCTCACAATCCCCCGTTCGACTAGTGGTGTTAAGCGGCGGGGGAGGTTCAATTGGCTCGTCTAGTGGTGTTAGAAGAGTTCGGGTGGAATCGGTGTGGGTTTAAACATGGTTCTCTCAGTCATTGATGGGTCGATTCGGGGACTGGTTAGGGGTTAGGTTTCTTCTACTGTATAGGTTTGATGCAGTTTTGGTAGCAGTTTCTTGGCCTGGACTTGTCTTTGTTCGGTTTTTATTAATATAATACATCTATCGTTTTGAAAAAAAAATGCCTATGATTTATGTCAATTTTTAGACGTATACAAATAGTACTTATTTGTTTTGTAATGACAAAGATTTACTCTATGTAATTCACACATTTTTTTGGTTAATCTGATGTTATTATATTTTTTTCCATATTATTTTATATATATATTGTAAATTAATCAATTGGTGATCTGCAATGCGGTTATGTAATATTTGATTTTGAGATTTTTTGGCAATTATATTTTGACTATTTGCTAATCAATTAATAAGTTGATTATATCGGGTATATTGAATCAAATCGACAATATCATTTTTTTTATGTAGATATCGCATTCAATTTGGCCACTGTGAAAGGAGATTGTGAAAGTTTTTTGCTAAAGAATTATGAATATGATATATAATGTCATTTTTATAAGATCATATTGAAATCTTAACTTCCACTTTAATCATTTGTACAAAAAAAAATCAATCATACTATTCTTCAGATTTCTCATAAAAACATCGAATCCTAATCTTAGCAAAATATATAAATAAATAAATAACAGAGACTCGCGTTTATTCTAAAATAACCGGTCATGCTCAATCAACAACATACTTTTGCAACATAACATAAAATTCACATAACATATAATTCAATTATAAATTAATTACGTACTTAATTGTAACAAAAATTAGGTGGGATGTGCAGGTAACAAACTAGTCGATTCAATATGAATCCACTCCGAATCAGTCTTACAATGACATACTCCACCGTGGAGATACCCAATACTCACAATTTTACTGTTATAAAAAACTATGTATAGTGACCTTTGTTGACAATAATAATAATAATAATAATAATAATAATAATAACATAAGTGGCATTTTTTCAATTCCAAAATCAATGCTCAGATTTTGATGAGGCTAAAAGGTAAAAATAGTTTGATTTATATTTATATATATTGTTCAGCATTTAAAAGCAAAAAAGTTGCCTATTTATAACATCTCATTTTTATTTTTATTATTTGAGTTTATTAGTTTTTTTTCCATTAAAAAAGAGGGAGAAAATAAAGAAGAAAGATGGAATAATATTTGCCAGGTTCTTTATAATTTTATATTTCTGTGAAGCAACACCCCTTAATCGGCCGTGAGTTCGAACTACAATATCCCACATTGATATCTATTAATAGATCGCAAAAACAAAAGGCTGTAAAAGGCCGGCTCAAACACATTATTCAGCATACCTTTCTCGGCCTTTTGGCTAAGATCAAGTGTAGTATCTGTTCTTATCAGTTTAATATCTGATACGTGGGCCAAGGCCCACACGATATTAAATTAATTTTTTTAGGGGGAAGGCCCAATAGGTAGCTTGCTGCCTGGGCCTTCGCGCGTCGCCCTTGCGTTGCACTACAGCACGGGCCTGGCGCACCCCACCAAGTAAGTTGTAACTTGTGACAATATATATTGGTTTAAAACGACTTCTCTTTGTACCTGTGTATCGCTAACAACACATTTATAATCATAAAAAGAAAAAAAGCACATTGATAATTATCACAAGAAAAAAAGAATAAAAATAGTGACACTCGAACACATGATTAGAAAAAATAGTCAGATTTAACCGTACTCAAGTTCCACAGCTTCCTCACATAAATCCAAACTGTGATTTTTCTAAGTTCTTCTTCACGGTAAACTCAAATTGTTTGTAACATGTGTGCAAAGCATGCAGGCAAAATGGTTATCAAGTAGTGAATGATCTTTAATCACTTGCTTTGGCAGGACAGAGTTACTAGGATTCTCAGTAAGTCAAAAGTAATGCCCAAAGGAAGGTTGCTCTTATTACCGTGCTTCACCTACTAAAAAAAAGTTGCAATTTTGATTCATTAACTTTGGTCGTGTTTATTAAATGGGTAACTTTTTGTATTTTGTATTAATTTCGTTCAAGAAAAGCGTCTGAAAAAACTAAAATTTCTGTTGATTACGAATATAAAACCTAAATAAATTGATTTTTGTTAGGCAAAGAGAAAAGATGAATAAAATAAGAGGTCATTCACTTATTTTGTACATTAATTTGGCTGAAAATCGGCCACATATGAGGTCGTCGAGACCGCCAGATTGTGGTATTGCTCCTCCACGTGACACCACAACAGTGCTGGGACATCGTTAATAAGTACCACAATGTCGCCCTCCTCTTGATGGAGAGGATTCACAAGAAGATTATGTGCCCCTGCTTTAAAATGGTACAGTTGATGAGGCACTATTTCACGAGCAGCATATATATATATATATATATATATATATACATACAATGTTTAATTCTATTAACAATATTTCATTTCATAGTAGAATCAACCTAGAGACTACATACAACAACGCGATTCTCATACACATCAACATGACCACAACTCATTTCATTACACTCTTTGGCTACTCTAACTGCAATTCTGTACGATGTTTTGAAATCCAAGCGGTCGACTGATCCAAAAATATACTTGTCGAAAGATTTGTTATAACCAAAGCTCTCTTTTGTCTATCAAAGCAACTTCATTAATAAACTCTTCTCCGTTGCCATTAGTATCCATCAAAACCTTTACTGCAACCGAGTTGTATCATTAAGTAGCTTTCCTTTGCACATGCTGCGGTATCCTCCTTGTCCTAGCTTGTAAGGATTTGGTTATTTTCTTGATCTCGTAGTATTTATACCGCTTTAGAGCCCGAGACTCAAGTTGAAGTATACATCTTTCGACATTTTGGACTAAATTCGAGCGGTGGGACGTCCCAGCACCGTAAGGCCCGATCCATCGAACAAGCGGTTAGTTCAGGCCCACACTCGGCCCTGGCATGTGTTCTTGGGAATGTTCAAGGCCAAACTCTGATCGGTAAGGATAGTTGCTCACATTATGAACATGCTATAAAAATAGTTTGATTTTATAGATTGTTTTCGTAATTAAAAGCATATAGTCTATATGTAATATCTAATTTCTTAATTTATGTTTAATTTATATTGCATCAGATACAGGAAAAAGAAAAGAACATGAAGAAAGAGATGAAAGAAAATGAAAAACAGTTAGAAGTTTGAAGCATAGTATCCCACATCGCAGTCTCCTTACATGACTCATACAACAGAAGGCTATAAGATGCCGGCCCAAAGACGGTATTAAGCATACCTTTCTCGGCCTTTTGGCTAAGATCAAGTGTAGTATCTGTTCTTATCAGTTTAATATCTGATACGTGGGCCATCGGCCCACTCGATATTAAATTAATTTTTTAAGGGGGAAGGCCCGTCAGGTAGCTTGCTGCCTGGGCCTTCGAGCGTCGCCCTTGCGTTGCACTACTGCATGGGCCTGGCGCACCCCACCAAATCAATGTTAAATTTTGTGTGGTCATTGTTCCACGCTTCAGTTAGCAGCAAACTATGAAATGTTTAAGTTTGACAATTTATACTGTTATGAATTTTTTTGTTGTAGGATAAGATTTGGGCAGAGGCTTTGGAAATGTTTCCTCGTTATCCTACAACGTCACGTTTTTGGTAGTTGAATTGAATAAAGATTTTGACAATTTATAATGTTTCAATGAAGTTTTTGGAAGAAAGAAAAAAATAGAATAAAATTGAGAAAGTTGAATTCCGAAATGAATTAGTCCTAATTATTATCAATCAGGTTTTTGGAAGAAAAAAAAAATAGAATAAAATTGAGAAAGTTGAATTCCGAAATGAATCCCAATCTATATCTATATATATCTATATATATAATTGTTGGCAAACTTCATTTAATTTTTATTCAACTTTCAATTAATAATAATATGATTTCATTTAATAAAAATAAGTTGCATTTAATAAAAATTTCTATGACCTCCATCAAAAAACCGTTACAATATTTTTTTCCTTTTAATTTATTCCATACAATCACCCACCTATATTTTACTATATTTTGGATTTGTAACAGTTGCATACGATTACTATTTTTTATTTCTCTATATTTGGAAAATGTAACTGTTATTTGGTTATGAGATAATGTTTAAACCCTTAAATTTGAATGGTTAAAAATATTTTGTTAATTTATATGTTGACTATTTACATTCAAAAGTATTAAGTATTGATATGTTATAGATACAACACAAAATATATATAAGAAAAGTCATCTTTTGCAATAGAAATCTTTACACCGGTTCATTCAAATTTAAATTTTTCATGCAAGATTGTACATTATATTAGTTGAATTTAATGAAAAATAATTATCCATTTGATTTTATACAATAAATATAGTGATGAATGAATACTTTTATGCTGTTTATTTTTATTAACGACAAAATTTTTAAAATGTGATACTATTATTTAACTTATAATTTTACAATTATACACATGCACGTAACTTATAAGTTATAATAATTTAAATTTCTTTGCATGTGCACTGGATCAAATACTAGTTATTGTTGAAGGTGTCAGATGTTTAAAAAGATTCAATTTACATTAATCATGGCTAGCTATTTCTAAATTCAACTTGATACTTTCAAGCCGTGCTTCATAGTTTGATCTCTTGACTTCTCCCCAACGTATCGCTTATGACATTCGTTTCTAAATCCAAATTGAGACTTACAAATTGTTGCTCCACAATTTTCGACTCGACTTTTCTTGAATGTTCTCAAGCTATGAGGCTTTGTAACGTATTGGAACATAGTTGCAAAGAATAGTAAATGATCTTAGTCAATTGTGTTTTGAAAGGTAGTGTGGCCGTACATCATATTCAACAGATATTCGACCCTATCTTATAGGGTACTACCCACATGTTGTTTTAACTTTTAACCTTTGATTTACACACGCATACACATTCATATGTGTGTGAAATTGAGGGCTAAAAACATATGGGTAAATGTCTCATGGATAGACACAAATTTACCCCCATATTTCCACCCGGAGTGCATACAAAGTGGCCAAGATTGCAATTTGTCAAAGGTAATGACCAGGGCCTGCTCTTGGGCAAGTTGCCCAAGGCCATTGCTTAGGGGCCTCATTTTTTTTTTTTTTTTTTTTTTTTATTTTTAAATTAAATATTTTATGGAAATTTAACTATAAAAAGCACAATTAAGATCTTTTATTAAGAAAATATTTATATTTCAAGTTTTTTATAATTTATTAAAGATTTATTCGTTGATTGATTGATTTGAAGCGAACTAATTTATTGTACTCTGCTATTATTTTCGAAATTACAATTGTGTCTCTTGATTATTTATAAAGCGAATTGAAGAAAAAAGTTTTGTTTTTCTTTTTTATTAATTTGTTGGTGAGTATTTATTTATTTATACTTCTTTAATTTCACTAACATTGAAATTGTATTGTTCTTTAATTTCTAATTTATTTTTATTCTACTAAAATTTATTAAAAATGTTGCATTATCTCATTCGCGATGTGGATTGTGATGGGTCAATGAAAAAAAATAAAATAACGAGATTTTATAACATTGAGAATGAATATTGAATGATTTGTCTAGGGCCTCGAAATTTCTGGAGACGACCCTAGTAATGACTAAAGTAGGTTCGCCCCTATACTATTGTGCTGGATAGATTTGAGTTGCAACTGCAAAAACGAAATTTCTATAAATTTGATTCAAGTGCAATATTAAGTTTGGAAGCTTATACTCTGATTTATATGATATACGCATAAGGGGGTCCTTAATTCCTTATTAAACTAATGTTACTGACTTTAAATTATGCGCGCTTATATAATAATCCACAATGCACCCACCTATACAAGCTTTAGTGAGTAGTGAATGATTCATATAAATTGCCCGTGGAAAGACACACCTAGCCTCATTTACTAAATGTGATTGGAATTTGACTATATTATTCTTTTTATTGTTTCAGCCTACGTTCTATCATTTGTTTACTATTTATTCTCTCAACTTGATATAAAAATAGTCCTGATTTTAATTTGTTTCAGGATAAGATAGGAAATGACCGTTATAACCCTTTAAGAGGAAAATATGTTTCATGTTCAATCCGAACGGAAGAAGATCGATTTTGGATTAAAATACATTTACGTAATTAGTTACAGTGATAATTGGTGGCAAGTCATTATAAAATCCAAATTTTGCAAAGAAAATAGAGTTACTAATTAGAATTTTTATTTGAAACTCTTTCAAGGGCTATACCAGTATCTTCAGAACTGTATATGCAGTTAAGTTTTGAGAATTTTAGCACTCATTTTGCCTTAGTTTTTTTCACCAAATTTGACAAACATCTTGGCAACAATCAATTAGTACAAAGGAATTGATCATTTATGGATAATGTAACAATTAGACTATATATAGGCAGCTAATAGTTCCAAGAGTAAAAACTTCACTAGCTGCCACACAGGAAGCTGTACAATTACAAAACCAAATCCAAGCACACATGACGAAGCTACTAAACTTCGTCGATTTCATTTAACACCACAAAATTGTATTTCAAATTATCGTACGAATTAGTAACAATCTCCCACGCGATAATACTCTCTCGATTAACTTAAAAACAACTGCTTATAGAGCCCATAAGCAATTTCTGACTTTCTGTCAAACCTGGCTTGATCCGCAGAAGCTCGTGCTACGTGAACATTCATACCAAGAAGTGACATAAATAAGTTCCAGGTGCAGTTATCTGTTTATTAACCTCAAAATTAAGGTGCAACGAAACTGATCATTACTTGCAATGCAGATCCACAAGTCAACACTCAACAGAGTGCCCAATTTCACACTTCTTTTTTCTTGTGTGTTGACTATGTTGGAATTAGTGCCATTATTTGGTTCCTGATGATGCCCATGCACTTTTGTATCTCAGTGTAAACCGGAAGGTTTTTTGAACTGCGTGGTTTTAAACTTGCAACGGCAGAATCTAATATCTGTGCCACATCAGACGGAGGAAACTGCCGTTCTGTACATTTCTGCAAAACATACACAAATTCGAGTTTGATCACCAGGTTAGAAAACACAGCATGTTTAAGGTTCCTCTCTTACCATTGATCGGAAAAAAAATAAAAAAATCCATTCTCTCATTTAAGAATTGCACCCATTGAGATTTATTTCTTCATGAATGGCGTGAGGAATATTTATTAATTTTGTAAGATATGTGGTGATTTTTGCAACTAAAGCAAAACAAAATTTTCCTATATAGCTCACCTGAATCATAAGCAAAGTCGACACACATTTAGAGATCAGTTCCAAAGGAATTTGTGCATTGAGGCTAGACGAATCCTCTTGTTTCAAATCTTGTGGCTGAAAACAATTTTCAAAATCAAGATGTTGATAGGTCCAGTCCAGGTTAGATAACTTAAGGTAAATACTTAAGGTTGGAAGATCTTACCATCCGTGTTCCAGAATCATCCAATCGTAGCCGGTCGTTTACATGGTCTATAGCTTCCTCAATTTTCTCAGTCGTGTCATCTTTACCATTAAATGATGAAATTGCCTAAGAAATAATTAAAAAAAAAAAAGATTGTTAGAACTAAATGCTGGTAAACTTTTTTGTATATCTTTGCAATGCATGTCATACTATTTATAGGATAATCACAAATACCACCCCTCAGGATTAAGCTTATAGTTACAAAAATATCCAATTAATTTGTATTTGTTCTACAAATAATTTGCATTGTGTAAAATAACAGGTTTCCTATAGTCGGAATCTTGTGAACCTGCACAGCTGCAGCTACCATTGCCTGAGCTTTTATTGTTGAGCTGTCTATGATTTCATTCATGTGCGAAGCTTGTTCATGAGTTTGACATGAAGCTCGTTCTAAAGGAAATCCATCACCAGGATAAGCAGAGTACGAGCCCGACTTAGGCAATGCCGATGGGATGCTCCCTTGATATGTGTTTCTTTGTCTCAAGCAGTACAAAGCAGATGAAACCTGCACCAA